GGAATGAGCTTTTCATTGCACCACAGAAGGTGAGAGAGAGAGAGAGAGAGCATGGGATGAGCTTTTCATTGCACCACAGAAGGTGAGAGAGAGAGAGAGAGAGAGCATGGGATGAGCTTTTCATTGCACCACAGAAGGTGCCATGGAGCCTTTGCTCTCACTCACACCAGCTATCTACACCTCAAGACGCCTGTGTTCCCTGCACTCACACACACACACACGCGCACAAATACAGATTTAGATTTGATAAATACAAATAAGACACTCTAATTTAAAAAAAAAAGGAGAAAACTTGAGTGTATTCTTTAGAAAAGTCAAGAATTTATAAACATATTATTGTAATTAATACCCGCCAATATAATGATGTTGAACCTCATCTTAACTTTATTTTCCCATTAAAATATTACAAATATAGCATAATTATTTTGTTTACATTTGTCTCTTTAATTTAAATTGGATAAATTTCACTTTTTTTCTCATAAAATATATCTTTTTTGCTTTATTCTCATACAGCATCTTTTATTTTCTAAAAGATAAAATTCTACTTGGCTTCTGCCCTATCATGATCGTCTCCCTCTTTTATTATTGTTCGTCATCTTCACCTTGTCTCTTCCTTACCCACATGCCCTTGTTATTGTCGTCGCCCTTGCCTACGTATACTCGTCCTTGTCGTCATCCTTGCTTGCACGCCATCGTCGTCATCATTGTCCTCGCTACCTTTCCCTCACCTTCTTCTCTTATCGAATGGAGATAACGTTGGGAGGAGAAGGCAACAAGGACAATGACAACAGCCTCGTTGTGATGAAGGCTATCCATATGCAAGGCCACGGTAACATGGAGGTGACAAGCAATCACTACAAGATAGTATGAAAACGAGGGGATGAAGACGACCGCAACTAAGCGAAGGCCAAGGATAATCTCATCTTTTAGAATATACGAGACACTACAAGAATAAAGCAAAGACGAGACTTTCTTTAAAAAAGCAAAAACTTCAAGATTTTTTTTTAAAAAAATTGCCCATTTACGTTTAGGAAGCAAAAGTGATCACAAATATTCTAAATATTTGAATATTAATGTGTTTCTAACTAATTGATAATTATGATTAGTGTTACTAACATGAGTGTATTGAATCGATCCTAAAATAAGTAATACATGTAAAAATTCTGAATATTTGAAAGGACATATATGTCATATTGAAGTTTGAAGTGACAATTCTGCTATCCTTAAGCTCCAAAGAACAGAGATACAACACCCCTTCCAAGATCAAGATTGTACACCTGCTCTTTGCCCAAACTCAAATGATATCCAATGGAATTACACGTTAGACGGAATAACAAAAGCTGACATTTTCAAGTTGTAAAAAGTCAGAATGAGTTTGCAAATGGGATTAAAGCACAGCAGGATGGAACACATCTTCCTTCAAATAAACTAAATGCAAAGTTTGCAGAAAATGTGCATGGACTTGAAGATCTGTCAATAACATTACAAATATAATGGACCTGAAATAACATGTCCGATGGACCTAACCAAAACCAACTTCAATTATGGACCATAAAAATTGTACAGAAGAAGACACTTGTAAACTATTGCTGAAAAATGAGATATTACATGCAACAAAATTTCTCGACAGCAAACCTAGTATTGCTTTTCCTAAGCACGCCTCGACTTCAGACTGTTTAGATCCAAAGACGCTGCGTGGATGGGAGACAAATCTCTTAATACACAAGCAATAGGCCTAAGCTAAGATAGTTGATCCATTTAATTCTTTCCAAGAATGCCGACTTTGCAGCAACTGGAAATCCCCGAAGAACCTCAAGATGACTAGTTTGATGACCTCAGAAGAGGCAAAGAATACGCATCTTTGTTGCAATATGTTTAGGATAATTTACTTGAACAATGCAGACAGCTTATGATGACTTTTCTGCGTTGTAGGCAAATTTTGACTCTGATCATGCGGAGACTCGGACTCACTGTTCATTGTCTCCATGATGATTTTTCCAAGCATGAATCTGGTTTCATCTGGATCTCCTTTCTTGAGTAGCTGATAATTGATTTCGCATGTTTTTCTTCCGTTGTCATATGATTCTATATCGCTTTCCAGGATCTTAAAAAGTTTGGACACGTTGCTCCCCATTTTCTCAGACACTAATACCTGTAAAACCAAAGCAAAGAGTTCTCATAAAACCATGTTGATTTGTGTCTCATTATTTCACTGGAAATTCATTGAAAATAAGGGAGAAAAAGATACAGCATATACAAGAGTCTGGGAATGCCATGCAGCAAATGTTCGCTAAACAAAGACAGATAATCACATGAGTTGTACCAGCAAGGGAACCCTGAAGCTTGTATCACACACTTAAAATGTCATCAAACTACAAAACTATTCAGAAAATATACAGAACAAGAAGCACATATATGGCTGACTGCATTGGTAACTCCATGGACACTGAGAATCTCCCGGGTACTCAAAAGGTATTCACAAAGCTCAGAACTATTAACTTGCTTGGAAAGAGGCATAGGAAGAAACTGGAATATGCAATCACAAGCATCAACATTCATCAACCAAAATAAAAGTGGCATTTCATTACCTAGACTTCAGAAAAGCTATCAATTAGCAGTGAGTAGAATTTGCATGGGCAACAAAGGAAAGCACAGCTCTATTCACATATCCATTGTCCTTTCAATTATATAAGATCATGTAGCAGGACAAATAGAGATAAAAACCAAGTTGGATTAGTCCATGTGATAATGCATATTTCAAGCCTGATGAAATCTAATTAAAAGTTCTTCAATGACTAAGATTCAGGAATAAAGGAGAAAAAAAGATAAAGCCAATACATTATAAGATCACATCTAGGCAAACAGACGTGTTGGTTTTCATGAATTTTTTTATATTTAAATTGTTTTGTTTAATTATGATGTTAGGGAACACTATGAAGAATGCTATATACTCCGGCTCCCATATGTAAAATAACAAAAGAAGCATACTTGGTGCCGAATAACGTTTCAGCACACACAGGGCAGGTACTTGCACTCACCACTCCTGAAGATAAAGGACCTTGGTAACTGCCTAGTGATTGCTGCAGAGCATCTATACTTGTAAAAGCATTGACAGAAGACTTAACCAGTGAAGCTAAATGGGAGGTTTCTTCCAAGATAAGCTCATCAGATTTAGTATCTGATGATGATCGAATTTCTGGAACAAATTGTGCATGAGCCTTCACATTTTTCCTTGCATATTCTGAAGCCTTTTTCCACGTCCCATTGTGTAGGATGGCAGAAAACGTCCAAACTACAAGAGCATCTTGAGGATTTTCTACTAATGCGAGGTGAAATGCCAACAATGCCAACCTGTTTTACAAGCACATGTGGTCACAAATAAGTCATCAATCATCAAATCTTTGACAGATGCTGAGGTAATAAAGAAATCAACACACTTAAACCACATATTCTAAACAATGCCAAAGCAACCAGACTGGAACATAATGGCAGCAGCTAAAAATCTGCATGTAGCACTAACAAATACCTAATGAAAAATTCAGCATATAACAATAAGCTTATACATGATGAACAATTATGTAGTGACCAGGTGGGTTTTTGGCTGTAGAAAGCAGGTTATTTTCCTGCTGAAAAAAAGTACAAATATTACCAGAGTGTACAATAAAAAACGCAAACACAGGATTAAGATGCTTAGTAGCACTATCAAATACTTAATGACAAATTCAGCATATAACAATAAGCTTATACATGATGAACAATTATGTAGTGAGCAGGTGGGCTTTTGGCTGTAGAAAGCAGGTTATTTTACTGCTGAAAAAAAGTAAAATATTACTAGAGTGTACAATAAAAAAAGCAAACACCAAGAAAAGAGAAATAAATAAAATACTAGTATAAAAAATGCAAAAATTAGACATTCACATAAAAAATCATAAAAACAGGAAGATCAAGTCCACACTTGAAATATAAGTCACCCACATATTATCGAACAGGAGTTACTTCTGTCCCTCCTATCTTTCTTAGAACCAATAACATCATATGCAATGTGGGTCAAGTGCTGCTGATATCTTGGTTGGGTCATAAATTAAATAAGAGATGCAATCAAACAGGTCATCTTAAACATTGAAAAGTAGGTGTGCAGTTAAAAGATAAGACAATGCAACATAGGATAAATTGGAAAATCTATATTCCAGACCTCTTCAGAGAGTTCAATGGAAATCTAAATCTATATCCAAATAGGTTATACTAATCACATTACCATCTGGTCCGTAACTCCATTGGAGACTATTAACTGCTGTCCATCAGACAGTCAATGACTCATCATTATTTGAGGGGAGCAAACTGACTTACGTTCCATGACTGACATGGATGCCAGGACATAGACACAATTCTATCAAAGAAATCACACCACCCAACTATTCTGACTTTCAAGTTTAGCACCAATTAATTGGAAACTAAATTTTCTTGACCAATTTTTAGATTACACCATAACACAAAATAAGATCATGGAGATAGGACTGCATTTTGTCTGGCAATTTATTCTTATGTGGCTCACCTCAAATACTCAATTTTTTTCTCATGATACCCCTATCTAGAGTATGGCCAAATCATATTGTGAACAAAGTTGCTTGACTAATAAATTGAGTAGAAAGAAACATATGATGGACCAAGTGATAGTACTTGATCAAAGCAGGCCAGAACCTAATGATTTATGGTGAAACCTGCCCCAAATTAGTTATTCATAACCTTGAAAAGTACTGCATAGTCTTCCAATTCAGGCAGTGGAATGTGGCACAAATCCTCAATATCCACAAAGTTATATTCATCTTCTTTCCTCTGCTCCTGGAATATGTTAGCCTATATTAAAAAACAAGGCATAAAATTCCTTTCTAGTTTTGACTCGTATTAGAAGCAACATTAAACTCTATTGAACCAAGTCACTGAATCAAAACCCTTAAACATACTTGCTCCAGACCAAAGATACATCATGGTCATCTCACTTCTCAAAGGTCATAGTCACCTCACTTCACTCGTCAAACATTTTTGTATTATGAAACTTTTTTTGTTAAATAAATTAGTTAACTAAGCTATTCCTGATCTCTTTTAGCTCTTCCAAACCAAGGGATATCTTTAAGTTTCATATTATTGGTTTCATCCTTTTTCTAAAACTTTCTTGAGTTCACTTGCCTAAATTTTTCAGACAAATAATGCTCCAAAACAAAAACCCACAATTTTCTTTTGCAGAACTTCAATACACAAACTAATCAAGTGGAGTAACTGTTAAAGCAGAATTTAGGTCCTGTTGCCAACAAAACTTAGACTTCATGATTTTTTTAACTTCTTACACCGAGTGATACTTATGATTCACCAGGATATAATATCTTGAGCAGATGTTGTAGATCAATAGTCAGGCATAGAAATAGAAGAGATGTAGACATTCAAACATGACAACTGCAGTTTATCTGAAGAGTTAGGACAACACAATGGCTGTGTCAGATTTTCTTACCACAAGATGCTGTCAGCTGGGTGGTCAGCAGCAAGTAATTTATCAGCATTAGAAAATAATTTCTGTAAAACACAAAATCCATCTCATCAGAGGGCTTGTCAACATGTATTATATAACATATGACATCAAAATCCTAACACAAATGTGAATGTTAATATACATGAATCTGTAATTTTGTCATCAAAACTTGCCATAATATGGAATGTTATATAAAATTTACTATTGGTCACTACAGACAAATGTTTCCTAATGAAAATCAGACTCTGGTCTTCATTGCATATATAGTATTTTGCCTTTTTGGAACATAGCTTACTCCATAGGATTTTGATTACCTTTCTTCAGAAGATTCACTTGAAATAATGAGTAATAGATAGGATTCCTATAGCAAGTACAAGTGAAGTTTATACAGGTACAACAACCTTTAACGTATTATAGTTTTGGATGTCTATTGAACACGTATAGAATGTATGTGAGTCCTGTAACTCATCTAAAAGACCTTTTATTTCAGGCAAATGAGAAAGTATGTGCTTGACCTATAAATAGTAACTCAATTGGAAATGTTGCAGAATTTGCAATGAAGCAAAAAATAACAACTTTCAAATGCTATTTTTACTGCTAGTTTAACTGTTACTGTAATCTCAACATCATTCATAATTGATGGGATTTACCATTAAATGATTCTGTACTACAAAGTTCCAAGTTCTTGGTTAAGTATTCAGAGTAGCAATTTTACCCAAAAATGCTCAATTTCGAACTCATAAAACACCTTCAGCATTATGAAGCACAAACAAATTTCTAAATCCTGATGGAGCATGAAATGAAGCTTTATCCACTAAATGTGAGCTCCTTGTAGTTGGTTTTTTGTAGGCATGGTTGCAGGTGGATATGAAAACTCATTATCTACTGAGCACAAGTTTGTGCTAAGGTTGATAGCTATTGGTGGTTTAATCAATTTATTGATTATGATGGCATCTCTACTTCTTGGAAGAGACATCAGTAGGCTACTCTATACTTCAACCTATACGATGATGTTTGATTTGTGTGAGAGGATAAATCACATTGAAACTAGAATCAACTTGATTTTTCATTTTGGAACATGCGAGCAATATCACCACTCGGTATTATGTTCACTGTGCTTCCTGTGGATAAGTTCATTTAGGCCCTCATCAGCATATGATTTCAATCCAAAATCTGTTGACTTGAAAAGCAGATACCATACCTGAATAGTGTCAGCTGCCACACATTGTAACTAATATTATGTATGCAAAGAGACAGTCAGTAGCAATGTTCCCTTAGTGTTGTGCTGGTGGCCTTTCACCACATACCAAGTAAACTTTCTCAGTTTCTCTGCAAGTTACAGCCACCATAAACATAATCTGAAGCATACACAATGTAGTGTCCTTCCATGCAATTTATGAACAACCGAAATCTTCTTATTTCAGTGGAATGGTCTACTGCATTTGTTTATTTTGGTCTTATGCCCCATTTGTCCGCTCTCCTTTTCTTTATTTTTCTCTCATTTTTATTTCTCTTCAATTCCTCAATAACAACAAGTCATGATGTCACCCAACTCTTTGGGATTAACTACATGGATTTTTTATTTTCTGTTAAGAAACCTTGTATAGAGCAATATCACTAGCTAAATCAAGACCAATCAGATCTCTTCTTATTGTTTCTTGAAAAGCTGTTTTAGATTTCCTCTACCACTCCTTATATAATTAATATCAAATGAATATCCTCATTTAACCACAGTATCTATAGGTGTCTTTCAAATATGTCTATATTATCTTAATGTTTTCCTTAGTTTTATCTGCTACCAAAGATGTACCTGATTCTTCACGGGCGAAAAAAGTTCTACCTTTTCAAGAAACCTCACATATCCACCTTAAAATTCTCATATCGGCTTATATCAACTTTTTTTTTGTACATGTTGTTTCTTATTTAATAATAAAGAAAGACAAGATTTAAAGAGACCAAATTTTTAAGCAATTAAAGATTATTTACAATAAGTCATAATAAATTATGTGATGCCCAAATCCGAAACTTCACAGGGTGTACAGTCAAGTTGCTGGAATTACCAAAAGAGAGGTATATACTATAAAAGCACAATCTAAAACTCAATACTTCATCAGTTTCATTACAATGGATGAACCATAAAGGAAGCTTAATTTCAGAAACAAACAATTGATACAGGTTACTAGGAAATATAATCTCACCATCAGCATGGTAGAGCCCTGTGCAACTTGCTTCCTGCTTTGATCAGCCAGATATGCTGCCTGAAGCCCAGATCTTTGTTAGAAAATAGATTTAAGTTTTTTCCTAGAATTCATGCTGAAAAATGTAACCAAAATTAAACCAGCTGCAATACCACTCACCTGTATGGGAAGCAAAATATCAAGAAGTTTGAACTTTTGAAGCAAGCATATAGAGGATTCTGCCGCGCCATATGCTAACATAAAATTCAGCTCCATCCTAAGCCTTGACTAAAAATGTTTGTGCTTTTGATTAAAAAACATGACAGACAAGGCAAAAGACAATAATCAAGAGACAAATTTCTAATCTATCATAAAATTACCTCATTAAGAGTCAGTATGGATGAAGAAAGATCTCGTATTGCAGCCGCAGTCTCCTTTGAAAATTGCAAACCAAGCCGAGCAACAATTCGTAAGCCACGCAAGATTCTTGCTGCTTACATAAAATTTCATCAACATTTTGAATGACTGCCAAGGAGCTAGCATACTAAAAAAAAACTCTTTGAAATAATCTGAATACCATTATATAAAAACTTACCACAGTCCTTGTCAAATGATAGGTGAGCAGGAATGACAGTCCGAACCTGGTACCAAAGACCACCAAAAATATAATAATATATACTAATAGAAAGAATATGTAATAATGGATGAAGTTATCACCTTTAATGTCCTTAAATCCCTTATTCCACCAACATAATCATAGATGGTATAGCAATTAGGATCAAAGAATAAACTGTGGACAGAAAGTATTATAATCAAAATCATTCATATTTGAACATTTTGAGTTATCAGATAAAGGTAAAGCATGGTTCTTAAATAAATAGATCTCAACTTGCAAAAACTTCAGAATGGCCTATGATTTTTCAATGAAAGCAGTCAAACAACAATGATAATTTGCCTGTTAATCGTGAAATCACGATCCATGCAGTTCTTCCAGCGAACGAAGTCATCCACATCACAACCATTGGAAACTTGAGAGTGCACATCATTTTTTTGTTTTTTCAGATCTTTATCATTGGTGTTAAAGCTAGAAACCTAACATCACAAATTCCAAATGCAAATGAATAAGGTTCGGATATATAAATGAAAAGAAAATTGATACATCAAGCATACTTTGAGAAGCTTGCACAAACCTCAACAATGGAACCTTGAACATGAACCTGGCATATTGGAAAACGGCGCCCTATTATTATACAACGCCGAAATTGTTTTTTGATCTGCATGTGAAACAGTATCAGCCAAATACGATAAGAAAGAACTAAAAACGATAATATCCAGAAACTGAATGAACATATGAGACCTGTTTGAGTGTGGCATTGGTAATTACATCAAAGTCTTTTGGTATTCTCTCCAGAAGCAAATCCCTCACACACCCACCAACTAGATAGGCATCAAATCCTGGACATCACAAACCTCAATATGTTGCAACTCTCACTGGGAATTATAATGAATAAATGACAATGATCAGTGTCCTAGAAAATAGCTCGGTCTTGGTTCACTATTTGTTTCTTAACAATAGCGAGTATGAACTAATTGTTTCTTTTTTAATGCAAAAGATCAGAGAAACTATCAAAATTACTCCATTAAGATGGTGAAATAATTATTGGAAGCGGAGTAGTAGAAGAGGGACAAAGTAACACTACAAAAGAATGATCAGGCTTTAAAGTAAAGACAACGAAAGAACTGTCAAGCACATTTCTCTTTTCATGTTTCATTTCCTTTCACCTTTCCTTTATTTTCTGCTTTGATTTTTCCTTTATACTATTTCTTTATCTTAATAAAATGAGTTGGATAGAATTTCGTCTATTGTTTCCCTCAAAAAAGTTGCTCATTTGTTTAATCAGCCAAAGTTCTCTCACAGAATTGTCAGCAAATTTGGTGATCCTGATCTTTAATATCAAGATAATAGATAAAGTCACCTATTTCATAGCTCGTTGTTAGAGTTCAAGAATCATAATTTTCTAATGGCAATAATGGCAAGAATTGACAGATTTATATAAACCATATATAGTAACAAGCAAGTCTAAGTTCTACAATTTCAATATTTACAACTCAAAAGGTGCGCCCGCATTAGAAACTACAAAAGTCAATGAATATGAACCTTTTCTTTGAAGAATATTCAGTACAGTCCATGTAGAGGATGATATAGATGACCTCCTAATACCAACAGCCCTTGAGTCCACTGTCTTCCAAGATGATTGATCATATGAACCTAATTTCATGAAAATTCAAACATCTCAGTCGACTAAAAGAAACCGAATAAGTGTGATTTCCAGCACAAATTGATCAAATTGCATTGTCCACAACCTGCTCATTGTCGTGCCCCACAACATCTGATTCACAAATTCTGTATGTCATATACTACTAATGTAAAGAGAAAGGGAAAAGAAACAAAACTTATATTCCATGATATCTTTCGCTTAGAGGAATTTAAAAAAAAATGCCTTTTTAAAATATCCTAAAGAACAACAAACCAAAAAAGCCAGCCATGCCAAGTAATTTGGACGATTATATCGGTTCCGACAACCAAGATCCTCAGCTGGTAGATGGCGTGAGAACCAAAGAGAGATAAAATGCATCAATTTAGTTATTCACGTCCCATCATCCGCGAAGTAACTATTAGCAGACTACTACTTGAACGACCTGTTAAGCAGCCCGATATACCAACCTCCATTGAGACCTACGGTAAGCTACAGCCTAAGATGAAGAAATTAAACAGAAAAATCTTTTGCCCTCGCTGTGTGCGGCGAAAAAAATAATAATAAGATGAAAAACAAGGTACCTTCCTTCGGCGGAAGAACCGAGCCAGTATCACCATTTTCCCCCGTGGACGAATGATTCCGCCTCTAAGGACAAGAAGAAAAGAAATACACAAGCGCGAACCAGATCAGAAAGCTGTTCGACGAAATGCCAGAACAGAAAGCGGAAAGAGAGAGAGGGCCGGAGTGGGCAGGCGAAGGACCTGGCGGTCGGAGACGAGGGTGTGTAGGCGAGAGACGAGGGAGGGGGAGCGGAAGGGGTAGCTTCGACGCGAGATCGCCATTAGCTCGGGCCAGGTGCCATGCGGCAAGGAAGACCCCTCCGAGCTGCAAATTGTGCGCCGTCGGAGTCCGCGCAGCTCAAACCGATTAGCTCATGTGTCTCTGGAGGGTTAAATAGCGGATCGGATTTTTTCGAGCGTCCGCAGCAACCGATCCATCGAAACCAGTTCGGATTGAGAATAAGGTATTCAAATCGGGTCCGAGTTTGGATTCGGATTCGGATTCCGATTCCTAACTAATTAAGTTGAATCCGAGTTTGAGGTGGAGTGAAATTTGTGGCTATTAATTTAGTGTCTTTGCTAAATATTAAAGCAAATTCATTCATTTATTTTTATTTTATTTTATTTATTTGCTAAATATTAAAGAATCGAATTTGACATCGAATTAGAAATATAAAATGTCGTATCAATTAATCATTTATTAAACCATTAAAATTGATAAATTTATGTTTTTAATTTTTTTAATTGATTTGAAACCAAATCAAAACTATTTCAATTCCAATTTTAGAGTCTAATAACCGAACTACTAAGCCATTGACTCAGGTTCGATTTTGATTCTGCTTTAAATCGAATTATGATCGAGTATAAGTAATATAAAATATGGATTAAGGATTTAATATATAAAATAAAAAAATACATTTGTGTTATATCAGTTTCGAATTAATTATGTATTTGGTGTTGGTTGCATTCACATTTATCTGATCCAATCAGCATTAAGGTTGAGAACAATGTCAAGCATATAGTTATTGGTAAAATAAATGGTAAATTGTCCCAATAAATTCAGGACCTTTCTATTTTAATTACTGACTATAAATCATGTTTTCATGCGTAAGAAATATTTATTTATAAAATAAAAATAACGATAATAACGAGATAGATATTAAATCTTATCCACACGAATAGTTATATGATATATATATTATAAGAACCCACAGAGTTTATTTTTTATATTATTGATTTTTTTATTTATTTTAATCCATAAAATAGTAAAAATTCAACCATTAGCCTCATATGTCATCATCCTATTTATAAAATTATTTTATTTATCTAATTTATAAATAAAGATAAATTATGATAAGTAGGTGATAAGAGAAATATTTATCTCGATCTCAACTTGACAAGTGATGGTAGAGTTACTAAGAGAAAAACACATCAAGATTAATAATCATGAGAATATTAGTCTAAAATAGAATATCAAAAATATATTAAATCTATACGGCATGATATTTTCTTGAACCAAACATATTATAGTAGTTGTCGGAACAATAATAATCGATATCGGTTATTGTTAACTAAAACACTCTCACTTTCTATTGTGTCGAATAGATTATCTAAAAAATTTCATTCGACCTTAATCCTCGTACAAGTGGATCATTAAACAACATTCAAACACTCTTTGATCACCAAATTACCATTTGAGGCTCTCTTTCAATCACATCAGACCTATTGCACATGCTGACTTGAATAAACTTAAGTTGAATTGATCATCATCCATATTTATTACATTAATCGATAAAAATATTTATTTATTAGTGGATATTATGTAATATTCAACAAATACATGCTATAGAGGGTTGGATCTAATTAAGCCTTTTTCAGATCGATTAGACTTTGACACTTGAAGTTTTCTCATAATTATCTTATATTTACTTACCAAAGAATTAGTAGAGGTTTCCTATTTCTTCGAGAGACTTCCAAGCCCTCCCTCGGACAACTTCGGTTGGTTACATAGCCCTTTCTCTATCATAGCTCCAATTTGGCTTCACAAAGATTGCAGTAGACTATATCCGAAGATGATAGATTATAGGACCAGCGATTGATTGATGGCTGGCTCTCCACCTGCGGAAAAGACAAATATACACTGTCAAATTAATTGATATTTGAGATTTTATCGATAGATATAATATATATATATATATATATATATATATATATATAAGACTTAAATTCAAATTAACTGTTATGTATCTTTGTACCGTGGCTTGATCATGTTTTAAAAATTTAAGGTCGTCCATATGATTCCTAGGCCGAGGAGACAAAAGAAATGAGGTCGGATTAAGGGTTGGCTCTTGGGCCTTGAATGCATTTACGACATTGACTCGAGGTGAGACTAGTCATCTCTCCTATGTTGCATTCCTGCATGATTGACCGACGTTGAAAAAAGTTAAATCCCTTGTTCCGAGTTGGGGTTTAGAATTTATACTTTTAGAGGTTGCTCGAAGGTACATGGATTGTTAATGTCTATCATTGTTTCATTCGATATGATCGAACGAGCGATCGACCCATATGCTTTTGACGACATGGGTTGGCTTGTTCGGACCTCTCTTGTGCGATACCAACCTATACAGTTTCGGGCGACGCGGGATCGATCGTGCATGATCTATCACGTTGGCTTCACTTCCTACGGGGGAGTGTTTGGTTGTCCCATATTGAATTCTTGATGGCTATCGACTTTCATTTCATGGCTGATGTAAGAATATCTCTTATCATTAATTAATATAAAAAAAATAAATCAATGATGTCGAAAGGATAGTTAGCACATTATATGTATTAATCTTTAAAAGAATAAAAAAAAAGACTATTAATATCCTTAGTGTCTTTCCTGAATAATATTATTATTTTAATAAAAGTATAATAATATCGATATTTTCATATGGCAAGATTCCGTTCACACGAGGAGAAGCCGATCTTTGTGGCCCAGCGGTCGTTCCCGTGCGCATGTCGTCTGCCTCGTCGGGCCAGTCTTTTTCCAACGTCCAAACGGAGGAAGCGGATGGAGACACACGGGACGCGCGCAAGTGGCGGCGAGGTGTTCGTAGAAAAGCCCAGAAGAGATAAGCCGATAAGGGGGCCGCACCGAATGCAAAATAAGGGTCGGCGGGGCGCGGAGTCTGTCCTTTTCGCGTTGGCGCTGAGGTGTCGTGTGCGGGGGAGGTCGCTCGCACGAGTTGCCCATCTCGGCGATATCTCGCGAGACAGATAAGCTTCATGTTTATTGTCTCATGTGATGATGCATGGATAAGAAGATAAAGATCGTGATTGACAACTACACACAAAAATCAACTTCCTTAATTATATATCGTATGATATATATATATATATCCATATTAATACAATTCAAGAACTTCTATTTAATATTCCTTTAATAATAATTATTTTTAAAATATTGCATATGCATTTTCTTCTATTTTCACATTTGTTCATTTGAATTTTGGTTTAGGAAACAACTAATATAATATTTCAGCTTTTAGAAATTTTTTTTTTTAAAATCATAAATAACCATGACTAATAATGTTAATACAATCAACCACTCTATTATATATATTTATATTAATTTGGAGGAATGGATATAGTCAATAAAAACTTGGAGAAGCAAATATTTTATTTCCAAAAATGTGATGGGATGGAGGTGTTAAACCTCCTTTCCTAAATAATGATTATAATATATAATTCCTTAGAATGATTTATTTGAATCCAACTAAGATGGCACAAAGACATGTCTCGAGACTTTCTGTTGTCATTCATGATTAGTATGTAGTTAGATCATGTAGTTTAACTTACCCGTCGCACCTACCCGTCATGTGATTGGAGTTGGTGATAGGGATCAGACCAAAGATCCTCACACTTACAAGTCATCGAACGTGCCCAACAGTCTGACGTAAGCGGATAAGGATAAACTTGACAACGGCAAGGTTTGAGGGCATCATATCGCGGAACGACTCGTCTCGTCTCGTCTAGTCGTCGATCTGATGCACGAATCGGAGCACGGAATAGGAAATCTGACCACAGTTTTTATGCCACGTGTAGCAGGAAATCTGGTGGCCCCTCGCAGAACTCGCTTGGAAGCCCGAGTGCTATTTAATGCCCTCCTTTCCCGCAAGCCTCTGACGATTTGCCTCTGCGTCGTTCCCATTCGACAAGAGAGAGAGAGAGAGAGAGAGAGAGAGAGAGAGAGAGACCGATCGAGATCGGGTCATCGCCATGGATCCTTACAAGGTAGTGTGTCGATTCCCCTCACCGATGAAAGATCTATTCCTTTGGTCTCTTTTCCCCTCCCCCACCTCTGGAAGTCGAATGATTTTAGGGTTTTCTCTCTCTCTTTCTTCTTTTATTTTTCGATTTGACGAATAGTACGTTGGCTTGAATTCTTTCTTGTGAGCCTTTTTGTTCTTCGTCCAATATTCGCTATGAAACGTTAGATTTGCTAAGAGATTCGAAGAATCCGTTCGATTTCACCCTTTTGTTCTGATCGTGTTCTGATCGCTATAAAGTCTGGATCTTTATGTCGTTGTTGACGAAAAATTTTGGTGCAGTACCGACCTTCGAGCAACTACAACTCCCCCTTCTGGACCACCAACTCTGGGGCTCCTGTTTGGAACAATAACTCCTCACTCACCGTCGGAATCCGAGGTAATGCAAGAACTATCCATGTTTGATAGTTTATTGTCTTGATTCATCTTTGCTATCTTGCTTGTAGGGCTTTCCTTATATCTACTTATTTCATTGTTCTTCTTGGTATGTTCTCTTTTAATACAAGTCCTGAACTCTTGGTGTTGTTTTAATAGCGGATGTGGATAAATTGGATTAAGGATTTACAAATTCTTAAAGTGAATCAGCTTTTTGGAGTCGATCAAACACATAATCGTAGATTTTTATGTCACAAGAATTTTTTGTTGTTTCTTGAGTTTGATTAGTGTGCAAGTGAAGCAACACATTTGGATCTCGCTGTATCTTCTTGAACGTACATGGCTGGCTTGCTCTAGTTACAATAGTAAATTAGACTAGTGTTTATGTTGTGGCAAATACATTATTGTTGAAAATGATTTAGTCCTTTGTAAAAAGTGAGAAGTATTCATGAAGTTGTTCTTTGTTGTGCTATCCTAATAAAAAAAGAAAGGATTCAAATACCGAATATAGCGATGTCAAGGTACCTAGTCTTACCTCTATATTTATAAATACGGTTTTCGATCATTCCACTCATTCACTTAACTTCCTTCTCGGTTATTGAAAATAGGAAATAATTGCAGCTCAAATTGATGGTTTTTCTCATTCGGTAATTGTAACAAAACTAACTGAGAAAATTTTGTGTATCGACTGCTTCTACAAGTCATGTTGTCTTGCGTAAATTGCTGATGTTTCAGCAGGGGTGCTTGCCTTCTAGCCGCAAAGACAACATGGTCTCACTATTTTGATGTTCTTATGAGTCTAGAAATTTTTCTCTAATATTTGACTAAAGAATGCTGGTTTTTTTCTTATTGAAAGGTCCTATTCTTCTTGAGGATTACCATCTCGTTGAAAAGCTTGCCCAGTTTGATAGAGAGCGCATTCCTGAACGCGTTGTTCATGCCAGGGGAGCAAGCGCAAAGGGCTTCTTTGAGGTTACCCATGATGTCTCTCACCTGACCTGTGCTGATTTCCTCCGTGCACCAGGAGTACAAACCCCTATCATCGTTCGCTTTTCAACTGTTATTCATGAGCGTGGGAGTCCTGAAACCTTGAGAGACCCACGAGGTTTTGCAGTGAAGTTTTATACAAGAGAGGTAAATGGAAACTTGCCATACACTCATTTACCTTCTCCTGCAGACAGTGCAATTCAATACTTCATGGAAAGTTGCATGAGGTTACATTTCTTGTTCTTCTTGTCCCATGGTATAACGCATATTCCTATATAACAAATGTTTCTACATACAAGATGATATGCTTTTGATCTATAAGACATAATATGCTTGTTCATTCTGAATAAATATTTAAATACTTTAAACTTAACTAAGCATATGGCTTTCTATATCTCAATAGCGACAAAAGATCCATGTAGTCAATCCCAAACAGTTGGGGCTTATGACTTTGTTGTTGTTGTTGAATTCCGAATCATGATGATATGCACCAGTTGCAAATGTTTGATCTTTTTTTTTATCACACGAGTTGTCGACAACTATGGTTGTGACATATTGGTATGGCTATCGACTTACATAGTCTCTTGTTATTTTTTACTTGATCCAGGGCAACTTTGATCTGGTGGGCAACAACTTCCCTGTGTTCTTCATCCGTGATGGGATGAAGTTCCCCGACATGGTCCATGCTCTCAAACCAAACCCAAAGTCTCACATTCAGGAGAATTGGAGGATTCTTGACTTTTTCTCTCACCACCCAGAGAGCTTGCACATGTTTTCTTTCCTCTTTGATGATGTTGGTGTTCCCCTGAACTACAGGCACATGGATGGTTCTGGTGTGCACACCTTTACTCTTCTCAACAGGGAAGGAAAAGCTACATATGTTAAGTTCCACTGGAGGCCAACAAGTGGTGTGAAGTGTTTGTTGGAGGACGAGGCTGTGACAGTAGGAGGAAACAACCATAGCCATGGCACTCAGGATCTTTATGATTCCATTGCTGCTGGAAACTACCCGGAGTGGAAGCTCTTCATTCAGACCATGGATCCTGAGCATGAGGATAGGTTTGATTTTGACCCACTCGATGTCACCAAGACATGGCCAGAAGACATCTTTCCTCTGCAGCCAGTTGGGCGCATGGTCTTGAACAAGAACATTGATAACTTCTTCAACGAAAACGAGCAACTTGCCTTCTGCCCAGCAATCATAGTGCCTGGAATCTATTACTCAGATGATAAGCTACTTCAGACCAGAATTTTCTCTTATTCCGACACCCAGAGGCACCGTCTTGGACCAAACTATCTGATGCTTCCAGTAAATGCTCCCAAGTGTGCTCATCACAACAACCACCATGATGGATTTATGAACTTCATGCACAGGGATGAGGAGGTAATCTTAGTTTTTTTTACTTTTGCTACATCTTGACCCTTTACATGGTATCCAACAAACAAAATTTTTTGATTGTTGCTTTCAGGTGAACTACTTCCCCTCCAGGTATGATCCTGTTCGACATGCAGAGAGGTTCCCAATCCCATCCTCTGTTGTTACTGGAAGGCGTGAGAAAGTGAGTCCCCTCTATATAACATCACCCTATGCTTCCTCTAGGATGACCCATGAACTTTAACCTGAGCTTTTCTATGATTGTCATCAACCTTGCCATATGAATCTTATCCGAAGTACACAGTCATCATTAGATTGTTTTCTTTTTCTGATGCAGTCTATCATCAACAAGGAGAACAACTTTAAGCAGCCTGGAGAGAGATACCGCTCTTGGGCTCCTGATCGGTTTGTCCTTGTTTTTATGGTGTATATATGTAGTATAGCATGTATTACTGAGATCTACCTGACCTTGAAATGTTTGATGCAGCCAAGAGCGATTCGTCCATAGATGGGTTGATGCGTTATCTGACCCTCGGGTGACACATGAAATAAGGGACATATGGATTTCCTACTGGTCTCAGGTTGGTCTCCCATATCCTCCTCTCTCTCTCTCTC